TCTCTCTACCCGCTGTCTCCAGCCACTCCAGGGACTGCTTAAAAGTGGAACTGCACAGCGCTCCTCCGGCTGTGACTGGCTTATCTCGCTTAGCACAGTGTCCTCACGGCACATGTCAGGATAGTGATCATTTTCAAAGCTCACTAATAATTCCATTCTGTGGACAGATCATGTGGGGTTTATCCATCCGACTGTGAACCGGCACTTGGGTGGTGTCTAGTTTCTGTGAATAGACCTCCGTGGACATTGCTGTGCTACACATCTCTTTCAGATTCTGCTTCCAGTTGCTTTGGGCATATCACAAGTGGGATTTCTGGGCTCTGTGCTAATTCTATAGTTAGTTTATTGATCCTCTGCCACACTGCCTGGTTAGGGGCTGCACCGCTTTACATTCCATCATGGATATGCGTTCACCAATCTTGATCAGCCTTTAACACAAAGATATGGCCCCTCCCCACACAAATTTTAATATCCCTGAAATTTAGATTACAGCCTATTATTAATACTACAGATTAACTCATCAACATGTCTGTCCTCTTCTTTCTTAGAGAATCGTAAAATGATATCAGTCTCCATGCAACTATGGTGGAGTTGAGCCACTGGAAGGCTGCGCTAAAATGATCATGTGGCTCCTTATGGCCTATTCAGACCCCTGTTGCAAAGGGGATTCCAAGAAGTTAGTTCCCTGCTGAGTGATAGTCCGTGGCTCTGGCTGCCTCTGGGAGACATGTGCTCTATTGCCTAGAGTTTTCAGCACCTGTGTGTAAACCTATCAGCTGTTCAAGGTCTCCATAATGTCCCCTCCCTCCTGCCCATCCCCTTTAGTTCTGGCAGTGAGGTCATTGTCTCCTGTCCCTGCCTGCTGATTTCTCTCACCCTATTTACTCTCTTCCTGAATCCTATCTTGTTATTCTCTGGCCTCCAGCCCTTCCCCCAGCAGAGTCCACTTCCAGGTCTCTAGCCAGCTAAACTGTTTCCTCCCCCAGGCCCTCAGGGCCCACCCAGCCCAATTCCTCCATTGGCCTGTCACCTTTTTGAGTATTTCCTGTGGTTTCTATTTTTTATCCCTTAATCTGTTTTTCTCCGATCTACCTCTCCACCCCCTCAAGCTGGAAGCCTCCATTTTCTGTCCACTTCCCTTAAAATCCCCGCACCCTTCCGTCCTCTCCATCCTTCCTGACCCCACCCCTCAAGGCAGACTCAGTGCCTCTAGCTCTGGGTTTCCCTGGGGTACTTCATCACTCTGTGTGGTGGGACCACACAGAGTCTGTTGCCACCAAGATCATTTGCTGCATATTTCCAGCAAGATTCTGACTCCCAGGTGGTCCTGTCTCTACCCATGGGCTTAGAAAACCGAGGAAGAGGCCCCTATAATCAACTGAACTCAGCATTGCCTGATGGGATCCTACCTCTTTCCTGGATATAATCTATATATACTAGTCCCACCCAGGTAACCCCTAGCCAGGAGGACAGTGGTGCTGGGAACCACACCGTCTACCATCCAGCTTCCCTGGCCCTTCATGTAAATGTTAATGTCAGGGGAGTGACCTTTTCTGTGCTGCAGACAGCTCTGTGATCGTGGGTTCCCTGCTAGAAGAGGTGCTCACAGGTACAGGGCATCCTGACCAGTCCAGCCTCAGCCTGGCTAATGAAGAAGGGTGAGACTTCTCTAGACTCCCGCTGGAGGGAGGATAAAGACTAAGAAAGGAGGGGAAATTAAGATGCACCACGCTAGGCATTAGCCAGGGACTGGTCCTTTGCCTCACCTCTGAAGATTGTCTATAGGAATGCGGATTTATATCTGTGATGGCAAATAAGACACCTAGCAGATCTAACAGAGGCCCTAACCCTCCTTGCGGCCCACGCTTTTCCCTAGCCTCAGCTCTAGAGGCTAGAATATGTATCCACTGGAATATGGGTATTTGCTGCTGCTGCTGCTCTTTGGTTAGCCAACATCATATGTAAGGCTTGAATTCTATGACATACACCCCCCCACTCTAACTCATAAAGCTAGAGTTTGTGGCTCTTGTTACTGAACAGTCCATCTTCAAGGACCATTTGGGTCTTTCCCATTCAAAACTACTTGCTGTTTTCTCCCAGTCACTCAACTCACTCATTCATTCTTCTATTCATCTCGGATACCACAACATCTGTTGTCTTGGGCTGTACACTGGATGATGAGAACATAAAGTCTAAAAAGCTGCAGCCATTCATCATAATGTGGCTACCAGACACAGGAGAGTGTGCAGGCCTTGTCGGCGGGTGCCACAGCATTTTAGTCTTCGTGTTTCTGTAACCCAATATGCAGGCCAGAACAGCAGGTATTTAGTACTTTTGTGTGAATATGAGTGGCCAAGCAGCCAGAGAGACTTGAAGGGGAAGGACTCCAAACATTTGTCACACTTCTTCAAAGAAGAGACTCTTTGGTGCTTTGACTGCTCATCCCTGGGGCTGTAAGTTCTCTTGTTAGTGACTCCCACAGAACTGAGGGAGCATCTTCCTTTACTGTGTTGACAAGGATCAGCACCACCTCTTCCAGTGATGCCTTCCAAGGTGTCCCCTTCATAGACCCCACTTGGGTAGCTCTGCTTCACTAGCTGCTTCTCCTAGGGCTAAGATTCCTTCTAAAATGTGTGTTTGTGCAACACATATGTGTGTAATGTGTGTGCATGCCCATAAAGTATGCTTGAGTGTGCCTGAGGGTGTGAATGATGTACTGGGTCCATCTATACAAATGGTGGTGGTGGTGATGGTGGTGTGTTTGTGTGTGTGTGTGTGTGTGTGTGTGTGTGTGTGTGCTTCTACTCATGTATATGTAGTGATCTGCACAATGCTCTCACTCTCCAGTGCAGGACATTGGGGAGAAGCATCGGGAATTGCCAGCTCTGATTTGGCACTTAGGATCCTGCAGGTCACAAAGCCTGTTAGGGGATCAGAAATCCTCGTTCAGGGGGCAATTCCATTCTAGGAGAATGTCGGAATCATGCGGTTGTCAGACCCTTAGGTTGTGATATTGCACTTCTGCCTGGGGCTCGGAGGAGCCAAGGGGGTCTTTGCCTTAGACCTCTGCTTTTCCTTGAGTGTCCTGCTAAACTGTTGTCCCACTGGGCCCTCTGTGCAGAAGGAGGGTCGCAGGGGCAGGAGTCCTATCTGCTGGGGGTGCTAGAGGCCATGACGATACTGGGAGACACTGAGACATGATGGTATTGGGGACAGGGTGATAGCAAGGAGCGCAGTGAGGTGGGACATGATGATGTTGGGGGCATGGTTATGTTGGAGGTCCCAGCGACACTGTGGAACATAGTGATGCCAGGGACTATGCCAACCGAAGGACATGATAATATTTGTGATAGAGTGAATCTCTGAGATGTGGTGACATTGTGGGGCATGGTAGACATGATGGTTCTAGGGACATGACGATGCCCACAAACATGGCGGTGCACTAGAGACAGTACAGTGCCTCCTTCCTCTCTGGGTTCATCAGCAAAGGTCGTAGTTGTGAGTGAAAATGGACATCAGGAGGGACAAATAACCCCATGGGCAGGCGCAGAGGACTAGCTGTGTCTGGAGCAGTAGTAACACTGGCTAGAGAGCTAATGAGAACAGCTTGTGGGGATTAGATGGCAGGGAGGAGGCCACATGAGCTAATTATACATCTGTCCAGAGATGAGAGGATTACAGGGCCCTTTTGTGCCTCATGGTTTTGAATATGAGAGAAGAGTCCTTTTCTGTCCAGCAAATGGGCCTAAATAAAGAACAGTGCCGGGGAGGAGGGGGTATGGCTCTGGGAACCACCCATGCACTGTCCATTTTGGTTCTGAGTACTCCTGAGTCGGAAACTCTTCCTCTAACCCCATCCGCTCAGGTCCTGGATAAGTGACAGGTCCAGCCCCCAGCAGGAACTTCTGTGAAGATCAGGGTTATTAATCCACCTTTATTTCCCGGGCATGAGGAGGCTGGATGCCATGCAGAGCATGGGTTCTGGTTCCCAAGTGAAACAGGCTGAGAAAGACATGGCCTGGGTGGTAAAAGCTGTGGGAGATGCTATGCCAACACGGAGGGTCACTCCAATAATGGGGATGAGGGGGTTGAGAGGGTTCAACAAAGAGGACAGTCATGGGATGCAGAAAGGCAGGGCCACCTCCCAGGAGCACCCTACAGTCCTTCCGTGAGAAGAGGGAGAAGCCTTTGAGTAGTGGGGTAAAGGGTGAAGACTTTTTTTCTGCAGATGCTGGGGAGCCAAGGAAGGTTTGGGAACAGGAGGAAGCTGAGTTTCAGAGCTACCTGGCTGCCATGGGCAGAGAGGAGTGTGGTGGCCTGGGACAGGAAAGGTACATGGAAGGTTTAGCAAGAGTCCTGTGGGAAGCAACAGGGCTGTACACCTTTGGATAGTGGGAGTGGAAATGACCGGTGGGGACAGGTCTGTTTCTTGGTCTCTCCTGCTGGTGGCCGCCTCCGGGGCACACGGGGAAACTGTAGGAGAGGGAAGCCTACTGCCCAGAACTCTTGACTTCTTCTCTAGTGACCTACCTGTGAGTGCCAGCCTCTTTTCTGTCTACCGACATTTTAGGATAGAAAGCACGAGGACATTTAGAGGGCATCCAGGTTGACAGAAGAGGGCGAGAGAAGCATCTAGACTTTTGACCTTTGCCCTACGGCTACATCAAGTGCTTCAGTTGTAGAAGTGTATTTGCTTGCTATTCCCACTATCCAGAATGACTAAGCTGAATTCTACAGATGGGACTAAGTCACTGTCCTCCTGGCTCACATGGGTAGCAAGAGGTGGAGGTGGAAGCGTTGGCACTTAGATCTCACCAATGCTAAATCTTTACCTTTTAACCCAGGTGGATCAAACTGCTGCTATATAGCTGGGTGGAACTAATTTGGGGTGTCAGGAAGCACCTTCATAAAGAAGGGAAGAGGCTAGCCAGTCTTACTCTGTGAGGTACCCTCTGAGCCTGTCTTCCCTTATCTGTTATAGCTGCCTGGGTCACCACACCATGAATAGCACCCCAGGAGACACGAAGGATGTTCCTGTTCCTGCGCCAAGCCACCGGCAATGTCTACTGCCCTCTGTGGCTCACACTCCCTCCGTCACTGAGGTGACGCCAGCCAAGAAGATAACCTTTCTCAAGCGAGGAGATCCCCAGTTCGCTGGGGTCCGCCTGGCTGTTCACCAGCGTACGTTCAAGACCTTCAGCTCTCTGATGGATGAGCTGTCTCAGCGCATGCCTCTCTCCTTTGGGGTGCGTTCTGTCACCACACCCCGGGGCTTGCATGGCCTCAGTGCCCTGGATCAGCTGCAAGATGGAGGCTGCTACCTCTGCTCTGATAGGAAGCCCCCTAAAACTCCCAGAGAGCCAGGCCGGCTGCAAAGGCAAAGAGCTTCTGCTGGGCAGTCACAGGGCTTTGAAGCTCCAGAAACATCCTCTTCCTGGAAGGGTCCCATGGCCCCGAGGAGGCTGACACTGGTGAAGAATGGGGACCCTAGATGCCAGCAGACAGTGGTTCTCAGTCACAAGAACACCAGGAATCTGGCAGCCTTCCTCATCAAAGCTTCGGAGCTTCTGCACTTTCCAGTGAAGCAGGTGTACACGCCCCGAGGGAAGAAGGTAGGCTGTGCGGCTGGTATTTCCTTTGGATCCTGGGTCAAAATACATAGACGGGCTAGCAAGGCAGCCTTGATTGCCCACTGCTAATTAAAGGTGACGGAAGATTGTGAAAGCATGATGTCAAAGCTGTTCATTAAACAGCAATCGTCAGACCCGGGGCAATGGCGCGGTTGGTAAAATGCTTGCCATGCCAGCATGGGGACTTGAGTCCCAATCACTCCACACACACGCATGCACGCACGCACGGTCACCCTACTCATAGCTCCCATTTAGTAAGCACTTAGCACTCAGTAGGCTCTGAGCTTTGCACAAGCTCCTCAGTTGTTATGCAGGCCTCTCAACAGGCCACCTCCATGTGGGTTTGGTGCAGGAAAGAGGTCATCCATGGTACCATGAACGTTGCCAAGATTTAATGCAGGGCATCAGGGAGCAGGTCCGCAAGGCTGGAGTGTGAGATCAGGGCAGGGTCTACAGAGATGGCTCACCACGTCCTGCAGGTAGTTCTTGCAGAACCGGAAGCACTGTGAATGTTGAGCTCAAGAACACTTTGGTGGGGCTGACAGTCAGGTTTGGGAGGCAGTGGTCAACAAACTCAGCTACAAATCAGCTCCCAGGACCACTAGAGGGATGAATCTGCCACGGCCAACCCAGCTGCATCACCTCCTGATTCTTACATTCGTGGCATACATCACCACCAGCCAGAAGCACGAGGAGGCGTGCTTCCTTCTAAGTCTTGATTAAAGGCACCCAGTTGAGGCAGAATGCAGCCCACACGCAACTGTAACAGCAAAGGCTGGCTAGCGAGTGTAACGGGTAACTTTCCAGGTGCTGCAGAACAGGGATCTCTGTCAAAGGTGGGCACTTGGGGAAATGGAGCTGGGCTGATCTCATTCCATCTCCCCACAATCTGCTTCTGTATCTACTTAACGCTGGGGCCTCCTACAGTCAGAATCATATTGCTAACCAGGTGTGGTGACACATTTCTATAAGCCCCAGCCTTCTGGAGATGGAGGCAAGAGAATTGCACATTTGAGACCAGCCTGCGCTACACACAGAGTTAGTCTCAAGAAACGAAAGAAAAGTGAGAGCATCATATTTACTTCATGCCCCAAGGCACATCATCCCTGTGCTGTCCTTGGAGTTTGGTTGCGATCCCTCTTTGCTGTCCTCTCTCAAAGTCTATCGAAGTCAGTAGCCCCCAGAATTCCTTTCAGAAAGTATCAACCCAGGGCAAAAGCCAGGAAATTAGTTATAGTACTTATCTTAGAGAGCTGTAAAAAAAAAAAGTTGGGCAATCTCCCACAAGGCTGTTGTTAGCGGTTACATTGTTCTTCCTCTATTCATCTGGTGCTCCTCCTGGCCCCTTTCCTGATTGTGGTTTTGTACCTGATGGAATGACTGAACCATAATCCTGGGAGGTGGAGTTCTGTGGGGCCCTTCATGCATAGGGCTGCTGAGGTCTTTTGATATGTCGTCCTACTGTACATGGCAGCGGCAGACAGCTCCCAACAAGGGTGTTCCCACTGCGAACAGCAAACCAGACTTCCCACTGATAATCAGAACCTCCCAGCCATCCTCCCCTCTGCAGGAACCTTCCCGCTGACCGTTGGTCCTTTAGCTTGGGGTGCCTAGTGACTGTCTTCACTTCCAGTTCCACGGAGCCTTCTCCCAAGACAACAAAGTTGATATGATTGAAAAGAAGTAACACATGCATCTGGGCCACAGATGTGCCCAGTGACGGAGGGTGGTGGCGCATACCTGTAACCCCGGAATTCAGGAGATAGAGGCAAGAAAGCTGCACGTTTGAGACGGCCTGGGGGACACAGCACTCTAGGGTAATCTCAAGAAACAAAACAAAAGAAAAAGCATCCTATTTGCTTTCTGCCTCAAGCCACATTATCTCTGTGCTGTCTGCCTTGTAGTGAGAATGAATCACTCTCATCCCCAGGTGTCTGTGGCCTATAGGAAAACAAGGCATCGGTTCGCATCAATTGCCTTGGAAATGCACATCACATCCTACAGGGACCACAGTTCAACTTCGTAAAGGAGTGCCTCCTAGCTGGTTCCCACTTAGAATCTTCCAGAGAATATCCATTCCACTATTACACATTATGGGGGTGATGGAATGTATGGCTATAAAGTTATTTCTTACTGTTAGTTTGGAACGGGGTCTCAGTACGTAGCCTGGCTGGCCTGAAACTGGCTATGAACTTCAGGCTGGCCTGGAACTCACAGATATCTACCTGTCTCTGCCTCCTGAATGGTAGGATTAAAGGTGGATATCACCACACCCAAATACACAGCAAAATTCTTGGTGTTAGTCCACTATCTTGTATCTTCCACTGCAAAGTTGGCCACCTTCCTGGGTTAGACCAGTGATAACTAGGTATTCTGTAAGTCCGTGATGGCTATACTAAAAGGAGAATGGACGAGGACCGTCTTCAATGAAAACACAAGTCTATTCCATTCCAGTGAGTACAAACTGCCCCCAACAGAGACACCCTCACTACCTAACAGCTGTGATGGAGGGGTTAGGTTTGATTAGCTTCCCACCAGGTGTCTGGCTGACTCCCTGCAGGTATGCAAAGCACAAGTCCAGCTTTAGTCTCCTCAGGAGTTTCCTGGGAGAAGACAGACCAGCTGTGCATGAAGGAGCGGTGTTGGTATTGCTAGTGCTCCTGTGTTTACGCTGCTCCTGCTCCAGGTGAACAGGCTCTGGGGTGGCTGGTGAGAGAGAGAAAAGCTGGCACTCACTGATCAGGCTGATGTGTCCATGCGATAATCACCTTTTGGTGACCTCTTACCAATGACAAGGATGTCCTCACCCATGAGCCAGTTGTGGGGGAGCTTTTGGGGGCTGCTTCTCTAGGTTTTCTTGCCACCAGCCCTCTAATCTTGGTCTTTCTGAGTCCTTCACTCTCAGGTGGAATTCCTAGCCACTGCACAGCCACTGTTCCTTCTCTAAGAGTCAACCAAATCCAACGATACCCTGGACAGCCCTCCACATTCTTCATGGACGCTGAGTGGGTCTGTAACGAAAGAGTTTCTGGCACTCCACTGCCTCCTCACATTTGATGCTACAGTTCTGAGATGGAATAGAAATCTACCCAAAGAAGAAATGTACCTCGAAGTTGGAAAGAACCAAGAGCCCTTTTAATGAACTGGGCTGGGTGATATGGAGTATAACACAGTTGTGTGTGATTAGGGGGAGGGGCATGTGTCCTCTGGATAAATCCTAAGGAGCTGGCCCACATGTTTGGTTTTGCAAGAAACTGACTTGCAGATTGGCTAGAATTCTTTTCTTTCCCACAGGCCTTGAGTGACAGGTCTGGATGTTCCACCTCCTTGCGTTTGATGTTGTCAGTGTTCTGGGGTTTGGTCATTCTAATAGTTCCATTAGTGGGGTGGTATCTCTGTGTTAGTGAGCACACCCTTCGAATTTGAAATTATTAAAAAGAATACACTCTTAAGAGCCCCTGACACTGCACATGGCCATTCATGACAGCTGCAGTATAGGCCTTCAGATATACAGGGCCTCTGGGGCCTGTATACTCTGAGAGTGAAGTCCTATTTATTTACTAGAGTGATGCGCCCTGCTTATCGCTGAGCAGAAGCATGTCCTGCTGGTGGGTTCAAGGGAGGCATAGAATTCGAGAATGGAGGGGCTCCCTCGGAGAGCTGTGTTTTGCCCTCATTGATCCACTCAAGTAGAGGTAACTGGCTTGAATTATGCTGGAAAGTTGTCAAATACTGGAGAGGACTCCATCTGGGAAAAACGGTAAGTCTGAGAATCAGATCTCCAGACGGAGGCATTGAACAGTCTGCTGCGAGCCCTTTACAAAACATTCTGGAGAGTAAATGTATGCTCAGGGAAGCAGCTTAATGGTCTCGACCTCTTTTCTATCTAGAGTAACCTCTGACAGGGGTGGAGAAATCATGCAGGCAGGTGGGCTCTCAGCCCCTGGCTGGTGATGGAGGCATTGTGGGGTGTGGGAACCCAGAATGGTATGTGCAAGGGTCAGGAAGGGCTGAGGAGATGGGGTCTTCCTTCCTGGGCCTTCCAGAGCAGAGGAGCTCTGCAGGGCAGGCCTCTAACTCCAGGCTCACCTCTTCTAGGTGGACTCTCTGCAGACACTCCTGGATGGTCCCTCTATGGTAGTGTGTGCTGGGAACGAAGCCTTCAGACGTCTGGAGATGGAAAATGATGGAGGGAACAGGACCAGAACCTTATCTGGTGTGCGTGCAAGGAGTGAACACGGTGAGTAGGTTCCAGGGTTTCCTGGCTTCTTTCAAGAGGGACAATGGCTCCACAAGCTTGGTAGTTATCACTAACAGCCCCCGGGGGAAGGTCTTTGGCCCAGTTCCTTGGTCTTCCAACCACGTTGGGTCTCTCTTACTTCTTTCTCCTCCCATCAGCTTTAACTGAGCAGAGCGTTGCTAGGGGACACCTGAGAGCATTGTAGATTTTAACACTGGGAAATTTGAGCTTAGGGTTTCTAGGGTCTAAAATAACCATTAAGATTCTCCATGGGCATGTCATCATGGAGGCGTTAAGCCCTGCCGAGGGTAGCATTTAAGTCCTTCGGAGACATGGCTGTCTTAGGAAGCAGCCATATATATTACTTTGAGGGCACAGTTCACAAATGCAGAATAAAACTGCAGGAAAACTACTGGTGAATGAACAAAGGGTCATCCTTTGTGAGACTCCATTAAGAAAATGACCAACAGTGCCAGCAACTGTGGTACACCAGTGGTTAGGAAACCAAGACAATGGCTAGGTCCATGCAAAAAGATCCACCAGATTTGCTTGATGTTTTCTCCTTTCCAGATGTGTTCACGAGGTATGTCCTGCTGGACATATGTGCGTCCCACCAAGCCTAGCTCAGAAGACAGAATGAGAAGCACCCTGGGCTCAATTCTTCCTGAGGGCTACTTTCTATCCCCTGAGGCTCCCTTCTAGTTTTCTACCCTAGGTGCAGGCTAGACTCTCAGGAGCTGATGTCACTTGTTTAGGCCTCTCCTGCAACCTTTATTCAGCCCAAGAGCCTGGCTGTTGTGAGGGGGATGGGTTACCAGGAGTCATCATACCAGTTAATAACATCACTGGCACAGGTCAGATCATGGGTGGCAGCCTGAGCTTGCCCCTCACTTTGTGGTTCCCCCAGCAATGCCACCATCTCTCCAGACCCTGATGTGCTGGTGTCTGTTCAGCAAACATTAACATGCAGTGAATGTCCTGTGCAAGAAGCTTTCTGCGCAGCAAGATGCTCAGCAAGTGTTGTATGCATGGCTGCACGATGAAGCAGCGCTAGTCAGCTTCAGAACCAGAAGTAGTGGGTAGCGGGTGGCCTTGGGCTGGATTTAGACTCAGTTCTTTCTTTCTGTGTCTGCCCTTGTCTCTCTGCTGTCGTTCACACCAATGGCTCACTACCTTGTTCTCTTCTCTCTCGCTCCACTGTGCAACAGGTTCCTGGGGCCCGAACACCAAGCAGAGTGTGATGCACTCGAGGGCCAGGTCTGGCGGCAGGCTGCGGCAGTTTTCCTGGATATCGGAGAGGTCTGCTCCAAGTGACCATCCAGCATCCAGTCATCAGGCCTGGACGGGGCCTGCTTTGGACAGGTGTCCTCAGGACACCCCTGCCCCGTCTGGTTCCTTGGTGGCGGCTGATGACGTGGAGAAGAAGGTCTGCATGAATGAGGACGGCAGCCTGTCTGTGGAGATGAAACTCCGCTTCCAGCTTCTGGGCGAGGATGCCTTGCGGTGGTCCCAGAGGGTGGGGAATGCCGGTGTCTTTACAGCAGCCAGCAGTGAAGGCCAGGTCCTGAGGGAGGCCGGACCCTTCTGCTGCAGACAGGAGGGCCACCCTTGGAATTTCTTGGAGCCTGGGGCACAGGGTCTGGGTCCCCATGATGGAGGATGCCGGGGAGCCTTTGACGTGAGCCAGCAATCACGACCCAGCTATGACATCTGGAGGAACCCCCTGACGACTCCTGAGGGTGCGGGGCCAACTGCTCGGAGGAGATGGGGCCTGGTTAAGCTCTCTGGAGGCAGGAGACACTGGAGCCAGAGGGCCAGTGGCAGGAAGGGACATGACCAGGATGATGCCAGCCCAGTCTCAACTCCCAGGTACCCTAGAAGTGCTCAGCCAGGTTCCCGCTACCCCTGGACTCCGGATGATGAGACGAGCAGTGACACCTTGCATCCAATCTCCTCAGCTTCTTCCCAAAGTGGGGCTGAATCTGGTGACGGCCCCTGCCGAGAGGACACGGGACCCCGTGGCTTGAGACCCGAGACCCAAGGTATAGAAAGGGCCCTTTCTGATACACCAGCCAGTGCTGAGTCTCCTGAGGAGCCCAGTGAATGTGGTGGCCAGCACCACAGAGGCTCAAACCAGGCAAGGGTCGTGGCGTCTCAGGGGCAAACCACCCAAGGTGATGATAGTCCCTGTATTCCAACCCAGAGTCTCTCACCTTTGAGCCACATCGGCCTTCAGACAGAGAAGTGTAGAGAGGGCACCAGGTGCCAGGAGGCCACAGGTGAGCCTGTACTGAGACTGCCACTGGTTGCAGGCCACCATGGCTCTCAGGACACACAGAGCAATGCTCTCCCAGCTCCTGCGTGTGCCCCAGCCGAACAGAGGGAGAGAAAGCAGAAGAGGCCGGCTGGTGGTGTGCGCTTGCCCTGTGTCTCTGTCCCTTGCCAAGTGGCTCAGAAAGGCCATGCTAAGCAGTGTCACTATGGCAGGGACACGCAATCTTCGCCGGACACAGCCATGCAAATGTCACTGCCTCAGGAAAGAGAACAGGCCTGCCCAGGAAGCCCAGCACCTCAGTTTTCTCCAAACTCATCTAGTGCTGGGAATCAGGCCTCTGAGACTCTGCAATCACCATTCTCTAGTTCTCCTGACTTTCAGGACCCAGAAACCACCATCATACCTACGAGTGACTCTGACTGTGTTTCTGGCTTTCACAACCTCAGCACTCTCTCTGCAGAGCCAGCAGGGGACACTGAGTGCCCGGCTCACTCTCTAGTTCCCACACCTGTCCACAGAGGAGAGATTGGTGGCCTGCGGGACGAGGCAGAGACCACCCCTGAGCCCTCCTCAGCCTCTACTTTTCTGGACAGATGGCCTGAGGCAGAGGATCCAAGAACCCACCACGACTGCTGCTTACTGGGTGCAGCATCCTCTACCCTCACAGCCCCCAGTGATCAAATGCAAGGCCTTATTCCCGAGGCCTGCTTGGAGGACAGCAGTTTCTGCCCTACTGCCCCCAAGGAGCAAACATGTTCCAGGAAGGAGCCTCAAAGCAGCAGCAGTACCAGCAGTGACCACAGTGGAGCTGGCGGCCATGCTGGGCCCAGGAGGACTCTGTTGGGGACGTCCCCTGGTTTCAGGGGAAGCCTTGAGGAGCAGGAAGAGGATGGTGGTGTAACACCCAGTGCTCTGCCCTACAGCTCTCCAGATGCCATGGTTCGTGAGTGGCTAGGTAACATCCCAGAAAAGCCAGTACTCATGACATATGAGATGGCAGGTGAGACTGCAGAGGTGGTCAATGATGACCCAGAAGGTCCCAAGGAAGACCTTGGTGATGGCTGTTCTTTGAAAGTCCTGGGGGAACTGGCCCAAACCGGACAACAGCTCCCAGAAGGGGTTACTGATGAGCATGCAGAGCCAGCAGGAGTCCTCCCAGGGACTGGTTCTATGAGCTGCAAACTAGGAGGTGATCCACATCATGATGAGGTACCAGGTGAAAGGGTCAAGGCCCCTGCAGAAGCTGGAATGGGAGAAAGGGCCACTGTGGACCACGGTGTAAGCCTGTATGCACTCCCCAGTAGGGTCTCAGCCTCCACACAGATCATGAAAGCCCTCCTGGGCTCCAAGCCAGGCCGGCCCAGCAGTCTACCAGAGGTCTCTAGCACAGTAGCCCAGAGGCTCAGCTGCTCTGCTAGGACCCTCATTGCCTGCCTTGCCAGGCTCCATTTCTTTGATGAGGCTCTAGGGCCTCCGGGTGGCAAAGTGAGGCTTGAAGAATCACCTAAGTACCAGGAGATGGTGAGCCTCTTCCAGAGCCTGTGGCCTAGGAGTGAGGTTGGGAAAGGCCAGCTGGATATGGGCCTCAGGAGAATCACTTCCCACCAGGGTCTGCTTGGGACCGAGGTCTTCACACCCACCTCCTCCTCTGGTGTGGATGTCAGCAGTGGCTCTGGAGGCTCGGGTGAGAGCAATGTGCCCTGTGCCGTGGATAATACCACGGCTCCCAAGAAGATAGACTTACCCTTAAAAATCCCCCCTCAAAGACCTGATTCCAAGAACCAGGGATACCCAGAGGGGGTGAATCCTTCCACAGTTTCATCTGGCTCCCAGGTACGGGGTTGTGCCAGCAGGGAGGAGTCAGATAAAGGTGGTAGGATGCAGGTGTGGGACAAGGCCCCAGAAAAATCAGCTGAAACCACAATGCTGGGAGAAGAGGCACAACCAGAAGAAAGAGAATGGAGAGCAAGAGAAGGGCTGCAGGAAGGTGGTGTCAATGGGAAAGGGCTTCTGGAAGAAGAGGCTACAGTCTGCAGTCAGGGAATGCTTGGAGCTGGCTCTCGGGATGGGGAGGGCTCACCAGAGGACACCAGAGTGCCAAAAGATGGAGCAGGAACTGATGCTGCCTCTGGAGAACCGTGGCCCTTACTTAGAAGAGAGGAGGAACCCACAGAATCCTCCCAGCATTTCAGTCAGAGCAAGCCAAATGTTAGTGAGAGTCAAAGTGTTCACATATTGGAGCAGGGGTTAGAAGAGATGTCCAGAGCAGATGCAACGGGCCACGAGCAAGCCTGCATCAAGGCCAGCTCAGGAACCAGGGAGAGAGACACACCTCCAGCCCACAAGGGATCTCTGGACCCTGACCCAATCTGGGTGTTCAAGCTGCTGAAGAAGATAGAGAAAGCTTTCATGGCTCACCTGGCTGATGCCACAGCTGAACTCCGAGCTCGATGGAGCCTTCATGACAACAGCCTTCTGGACCAGATGGTGACAGAATTGGAGCAAGATGTGGGCCGACGGCTTCAAGCAAGCACTTTCAGGGAAGTTAGGAAGATCCAGAGCCGGGCAGGGAGGATGGCTCCGAAACCACCCCGGGAAACCCTCAGAAGTCAGACATCTCTACAGACAGAGCAGCGCAGGCGCCGCCTTCAGGGCCTGCGCAACTTTTCAGCCTTCCCCGCCCAGGAACCCCTTTCCTTCACTCTGGAGGATGGGCCCACTCTAGGGACAGCTTCAGGGACCAGACCAGGTGCAGGGGCCATAAGGGATGAGTTCTGTCCCTGTGAAGTCTGCCTAAAGAAGATGAATCATGGGTTCCCAAAGGATGCCACAGTGGTCTCCAATGCACCAGTCAGAAGGGCCTTTGACCTGCAGCAAATTCTACAGAGCAAAAAAGGAGAAGCCAGGAACGGAGAGGCTATGGAGGTGGTGGCACCCCAGAAGACAGAGATGATGCTGTCTCAGGAGGACCCCAGACCTGTCCAGGGAGCCGACGGGAAGCAAGACCTGAAGTTGACACAAGGGCCTGGTGTAGCTGAGGGAGAGGAGGGGGAAGGGAGGCAGAGGCTGAGAGGAGAGGAGGATCCTGAGTTTTTGAAAGCAGAAGGAGCTGGTTGCCATGCGCCAGATGAGGATGCAGCCACAGAGAAAGAAGGGGAACTCGACATCAGTGCCCCACCAGAAAGCCAGCAGTTAGAGGGGGGAGGGATAGAGAAGGGAGAAACCTCCCGGCACCAGAGCTTTAGAGACAGAAGTGCTTCGTGGTCTTCCAGAACACACAGAGGCCACTCTGTGGAGGTTCCAGAAGCTTCCAGAGAAAGAGAGCCAGAGGTAGAAGGAGGAAATCAAGATGGAAAGGAAAGCAGCCCTTGTGTGAGCTCAGCAGAGAGCCAGAGAAGGACGGCTTCTGAAAACACCAGCCTAGACCAAGACGGGGGTCTCCAGAACCACCATCGAAGGCCAGGCTCCCGAAGCCACTGTGCAGCGCACTCCTCCAGGGCGTCAACTCTGGGCAGCTGCTCACAGGTGTCTCAGAAGGGCTCAGAGGGAGATTTTCCAAGTGGAGACCTCAAGTGTACCGCAGTCGAGAACAGTAAGGTCTTGCATGCAGACAGAAAGGTCACCATGATGTATCCAAAAAGTTCATCTTCTGAGCAAGAAGAAGCCCCCTCCAGCCCAAGGCCTCCAAAGCAGGGGAAGGATGAAGGCTGGCATGTGGAAAATGAAAGGACAGTTGGAAGCTTGGCTTGTACCCAGGTTGGGAGTAGGGTAAATGGCTTTGGCCAGGAAGATTTAGATTTCTAGACATCTAGGACAGTAATGAACCTGAGTGCTGCTTGCATAAATATGTCTCCCATCTACCTGAGAGAGGCTCAGGCCACTGAGGAGCAATGGACAAAGACCAAGAAATTGCTATCTGTCCTGGAGCTGCAGGCCTAGCACCCCAGCTACTCAGGAGATGAAGGCATGAGGATAGAAAGTGGAGGATAGAAAGCCCCTCCTCGGTATAGAGCAAATTTAAAAGCCAACTTGGGCAACTTAGTGATATATTGTTTCAGGGTCTGGGGATACAGCCCAGTGGCAGAGGGCTTGCCTAGTATATTTGTGGCTCTAGCTTCAACCTTGACAGCAACAGCAATGAAGAGGACGTGACAAAGATATACCACACTGCCCTGTCCTCGGATCTAAACTTCAAGGCTCCCACGCTCAGTGCAAAGGGTTAGCTGTGGACTTGACATATCAGGCGCCAACTAGTTCCTCCATCCATGCAGCCCAAGGGGATAGAAGGATCTAGAAAAGATGAATTGGTGCTTCTGTTTGCGCTGGCTTTTTGTGTGTGAGAGAGACAGTAGTTCTCTCTCTCCCTATTGATCCCCCGTTGCTTTCCCC